CTTGGTGAAGGTCCTGTTGAGTATGGAGTAACATTGTAGCTGCTTGAATTATATCAGCAGAGAATCTGTTTTTCAAAATTGTCTAGATGAGACTTGCTTGGTGTGTGGCTGCTTCTCATTTTCCCAGTGTTGTTGCTTGTTTCTGCCAAGAAAACAGAGAATTGGATGCCAAATCTTTATTTTAAGAAACATGATGTGCAAAAATAGATGAATCTTTTCAATCATAGCGTCAATCCACTTGCAGTGAACAGCTGTTTGGGGCTGATTGAGCAGAAGTGCCTTTCCAGTGATGAGAAAACTTGTCTGATGCAGGAGCCATATATTGGGCTGGTTAATGGTCAGTGCTGCTGACACACTGAGGGACTCGTAGTTCAGTTGAACAAAGCTGGACTTGCAGAAACTGAGTTCATTTGCAAACAGAGTAACTCTAAAAAGCATGGAGAGGCAAACATTAAACATAGAATTAGGACATTATGTTTTTGTTTATGCATATTTTCACGCATAATATGTAAACAAGCTTGCTAGCCAAGTAGCAGATGTAATTCTCTGCATTTCATACAGAGAAAGAAATGAAATAAGTTAGTGTAGGTTTTTAAGGATTTTAGCTGCTGGGTATTTATGCTCCGATTATTGTGGTCTTTTGCTGTTTCTCATACTGCCTGAGTGAAGACAATGTAGGTCTTACTGAATCTGTGTCTGGGAGTGGTGGTGTATTCCTGGGTGATGGTAGGTGCAGACCTCTAAGGGAAAGGAGATGGTGTAGTTCCTCAGACTTCTTTCTTAATTGATACTTCGTTTTATTAATTGTTCCTCAAAGCAGCAGAATCTAACAGCTGTAGCTATACCTACGTGACCAGTTCAGCTAGCCTAATTAGCTCAGGCAGTCACCATTCTAATACATCTCTGTTGGTTGCAGTAGTGTGCAGAATATAGTTTGAAGAACAGTAGTTACGTCTGTACTTAACTGCCCATCATTATTTATTACCCGTACTTCAAAACTGAGAGTTTGCAAAAGGCAATAAAGGAAGAAAGGGGCAAGAGTAACTTGGAGCTGAGCTGGTGAAATGTTTCTTTGCTGTTAACAAAAGTAGCAGTCCTTGTGCCTGAGGGTTGCTGTGTACTAACTGGTGCTGAGTGCTTGTTGGTGGAATATTCGCTTTATCGTTAAATGAATTAATGTTGCTACCTGCTTGTTCATGACGTTACACAAGGGAAGATCCCAGATTTAGAGAAGCAAGTGGCAATGCTAAGTGAGATCATATGGGTGATCTGAGAGGATGGTGAAAGGGCTAAGTTTGGGGATTCATACTGAAATAGAGGGCTAGAAGGGTGGATCTGTGAGATAAACAGGTATGACTCATGGAAGCAGTGCTCTCAAAAACAGCAGAAGTAGAGATGAAAAGCAAAGGATAGTTTAGTGTTGAAGGATTGGTTTCTTGTACTGAAACTTAATGAGGAAATGCAAATAGAAACAGAAAACAAGACACTATAGGGAAGACTGTTTAGCCCAGGAATGATGAAGAAGAAAATGGAGGTAATTATGAGCACTTCTATTCCTGATCTCCATAGTCCTGCAGATTATAAAAGGCACACAGCACAGAAGTCCGTGTTATACCACTGTATATATATACAAAATAATATCTAAAAGATAGCAATGTTTCCTTACCTGCTTCGTTTCTATATTGTTCTTCCTGTGCAGATTTGTTTTTCAAGCTAATGTATTTAAAAACATCTTTTTGCAGATACTTGAAAAGGCCGCTGAGATTGCAAGAAGCAGTGACAATGCTGCAATGACGGTAAGCATCTGCTGAAGACTATTTTAAAATTAATTTCCTGGTTTTTTGTTTTGTTTTGTTTTTATCTGCTACATCTATCTAGAAATCAATAAGTCAGCTGCTCAGATAACGACAGTTCTACTGTCTCTGTTTTCTTAAGTAACTCACTTTGGTTGAACTGCCTTAAAATTCAGGTAACATCCATTTTTCCAGTATATTTTGGATTTCTTGACTGTTTTTTTATCAAAAAGCACAATTGCTTTACATACTCTATGGATTTGGAACACAGCTAAGATTTACGTTAGATATGGATCTGGAAAACCTTCCCAGATTGCCTAAAATATTGCTGGAAAGTTGCTCAAGTATGATGATTTGCTGTCAAATGTTTCCAAATAAGCTCTCTTAAAAATGATCATTGATCTATTAAGAAGATGTTTCTTAAATATAATGATTGTATGCTCTGCTTGAAGAATTGGATAGTTCTAACTTTAGGAAAAAGTTTGAAAACATCACCAAAATCTGAAGGCATTTTGTTTGTATTATATACAAAATACAGAAGATTGCAGTTTAAGATGGTGAAAGCACAGTCGGATCAACAGTAATAACAACTGCATTTTATATAAGAATAAAGCAGTTTATGGAAAAATATGCCAGTTACAAATAACATGTTCCTAAAGTGCTTGGGAAAGGTGAAAACTTTCTGCTACTTTGAGTGCAAACAACTTGGTGTACAAATAATTGGAAATCTTAAATAGCAGCATGCCAACTTGACAGTATTGTAGTTTTTAATTAGAAAGATGAACATTTTCGGAGACAGGAATCGCCTTGTTGTCAAGACTGTTTACTTATTTTGATACAGAAAGAGTACGTACTTAATGAAACAAGCATTGCAATTCAGCTAGCTTTTAATAGTCTATTCACTCCTAAGGATTTTATACTTAAGTAAATATTTTCATGTAAAAATATATGTAAAAATATCACCTAAAACATTTTAGCACAGTATGAGGCTCAGGCACTTATCATTTCTAGGAGCTAAACTTATTTTCTCTATGCAGTCAGAAACCTGTGCAGAATGTTATTTGATGAGAGCTGTTTGTTTCTGTTATCAATCCTAATTGATTTTGCCTACTGTTTCTTCTGAACTTCCCTTTGGTTTTGGTTTTATTTATTTGTTTATTTATTTTATTTTCCATTAATGTAAAGACCTTTGCCCTACCTCTTAGTTATGTAGAAATTTCTTCAGCTTTGTGACAATGAAGTTGGCTTCGGTATTTAAAGCTTGCCATACTGATTTTCAAAATACGTATTGAAACTAATTTATTCCCTTCAACTGCTACCTCCTTAGCCAGAAGCAGCAGTTTCTTTTGTCTACCATTCATTTATGGAATGCTTTTTTTGCCAGTATACTTGCTTTAATTTCTGCACATGCACATAAGGGCATGGCTGGGGACAGAAGCTGCTAACTGAGCCAGTGCAAAGATTCACTCATACAAACTGATTTACAGAATTTGGTACTAATGTTAATGTTTCAGAGGTATAAAATGAAGCAAAATGTCTGGAAAAGACAAGATAGGATTAGAAGACAAAAAAATACATATTAGTATGCTTAGCAAATGTACTTCCCTTTGGTTATTGTTGGAAAAGTATTTTTTGGCTTTTAATTAAAAAAAAAAAATATAGCTGTTCAATTTGCTTAGTTTAAAAAACAAAAGGAGAAAGTATGTGCATCCTAAAGTTCTCCATGTCAGAGTTGGAAAATAGAAATATTGCCATCTAGTGTCATTAACTCTGAAGTTTAGTTACTTTTTCAGAAACTTCTGTACATTGAATTATGAATCCATTAGTTACAATTCTTATGGCTTAAGAAATCCAAAATCTGAAGGAAGGGCATAGTAGTAATTCCACTGTGTTTCATGAGTTTTATCTAATGTTCTTCCCAGTGTAGGATTTCTAGTATTGGAGCTAAAATACAAGAATCTTACTGAATATACCAAAATATTATACATTTCTCATTTTCTAGGGTCGTGGTGGTAAAAAGTTTTATGTTGTGCTAAAAGAAATAATGGAAAGAGATCCTTTATCTCAACTCTGTGAAAATGAAATGGATCTTATTTGGACTTTGCGATATGACTGTCGTGAAAATTTTCCACAATCATTGCCAAAACTGCTGCTCTCTTTAAAATGGAACAAACTTGAAGACGTTGCTCAGGTAAGGGAAAAGACAATGCTGGTGGGGAAAAATGCTAGAGTCAAATCATGAATAAATAGGATTTCTTTCCTAAGTACAGACATTTTGAAATGGTACTATTGCATAAACCAAAGTTCATTTTATACCTTCTGTGGCCTGGACACATAAGCAGGAATTTATTATCTTGGAAAAAACAAAACCAAAACCCAAAATGCATTTCAGAGGCCTCTGCATGACGAGCAAAGCACAGCAATTATTTATACAGGCTAATTTAAAAATCTTGTGCTCAACTTTGATCTTAAATGCCAAGAATTTCTCAGAATTGTTTAGGACCTCTGGAGACCATCTAGTCCAAGCCCTGTGCTCTAGCATGGTCAGCTAGAGCAGGACTATGTCCTGCTGAGTTTTGAGTGTCTCCACTGATACAGACTCCACGATCTCTCTGGGCAGCATGTGCCAGCGTTTGACCACCCTCACAGTAAGAAGTTCTAGTAGAAGGTGTGTTGTTTTTTTTTTTAAAAAGATGTTTAAGTTTGGAAATCAAGATTTGAAATAAAGCTTCTTGTAAAAATTGTGGATTTTTATAGTCTTTGAGCAGTTTAACATCTCAGGGTAATTAAATTTCATTGAGGCAGACATGATTTTTCAAAGAGATATGATACCCACTAGTGGTACAAAAAACTTAATTCTCATCATGTTGACTATTTGACCAAATAGAGTCTCTTTAATGTAACTGTGAGTAATTAAGGACTTGAAGACAGGTGCTGTGATACAAGAGTACATTTTCAGAAAATTGTATCATTTATGTGCTGTATAGATCTGCAAGGTTATTTCACTATACAGTAAAGAAGTGATGTAGCTGCCTTTTTCTGTGTTTACCTGAATAGAATCCAACTTTTGTGATGCTTTTTGGGAATAGGTGGAACCTTGACATAGGAAAAATGATATGATTTTATAGTGAGGCCGTTCCTGCTTGATAGACTGACTTAAAAGTGACAAATCCAGGGATCTACTGTTTTATATTGAACCTTTTTAGTCTGATTGTGTGCAGAGCAGGTAGGGCGAAACCATGAAAGTCTGGCTGGTGTTAACACGTGCAGTGCCCACTCTCAGTGGTGAACCCAGACGTTGTTTTGTTCCTCTGCTTATCCTGACAGAATTGCACATTTAAATGATGCTTAACTTCTTGCAGACTGTTACACTGAGATAATATTTAAGTCTTTCCACAAGTCTCATTTTTTAAATCTTAAACTAAATTTTTCTTTTTATTTTTTAAAAAGTTGAGCTAAAAAGCATTTGCTATGAAGGATTGTGATGAATAGTATAAATTTCTATTCTAGCTTAGTATTCTGACCTTCGCCCATTACAAGCTAGGTGTTCATGGCAGAAAAGGAAACCACTCCATGAAAACTCAACTTTCATCTATTCATCATGTGATTTTTGTGATTATTCAGTCAGGCAGTATCTTAGTTTGCAGCATAGAGTTTATTTTTTATTATGTCCTTCCTACCAGCTAGATATGTATGTTCTGTGAACTTACAAGAATAAATGGAATTTCATCCTAGGTCATTGTCTGTGCCATGAATACTACAGTAACAAAAGGTAGCACCGACACATTCCTTGCTCACTTGTGTTCTTTCACATGCAAGAATCCTTTGTTCCTTAGTAATTCCGTTATGCACTTCTGAATTCATTGTGACTAAAAGCAATCTGGAAATTAAGTGTAGAAATATGAGCAAGTATTTGTTTACTCATTAAAATACGTGAAGGAAAAGAATTCTAATTGCTGGCTAGAGGTTTTGAAATATGGCCTTTGGTAGCAGAATTTTGAAAGGTATTTGCAGTATGGATATTAGCTGACAGCTAAAAGTCCTTTAAATTCAGGAATAATATGTGTAAGCATTTTATTTAAACAGATGGCTGAAAATATGTAGTCATCTTGCTTGTTACTGTGTGTTTCTGGAAGGAATGTAGTATTTGTGTTTGCTTATGTATAGACAATAGCATGGTTTATATTGTTTTTGGCAGCAAGAATAGTCCATCTGAAAAATGAGATCTTATCCTTAAACATGCCGAATATTTCTGTAATACATAGGCATGGAAGTGTCCCCAGTGACTTACCTTTTCAGGTAAGGCAAGACAGTCTCACCAAAAGTAGCAGGACTTCTAATTTACTTCGCATTAAAATTAAACATATATAGTACTAGCTGTATGTTGCAATATTTGTGCTGCTACAACATGCATGCTGTGGTACTAGAAGTTTTTTTTTAAGGCCTGTTGTTAACTGTAAGTATTTCAATAGAAGTCTTGATACTTAAGGCAAAAAGTTGAAAAAAAACCACCAAACAAACATAAAACCAAAAAAAACTCCAAAGACAACAACCCCAAAAAGCAACCAAAACCCAGCTGTTTATAAGAAATATGAACTAAAAAACTAATATTCTTGTTTCTATTATAATGCAGCTCAAAAGCAATAAGGTTTTTTTTTTTAGGAATGGAGTACTATGTTTGATTGTAGACCATCTTTAATCTCTTAGCTCAGTGGTCCGTAAAGTTCTGTACAATGGATTAAACCAGCTTTCTTGTATTATTTACTATCTAGAGTTGATCCAAGCTCTCGTTGTGCTGCAATGTTTTAGTGGAACAGTTGCACCGAAGGAATTCTGAAGGTGTTTGCCATTGCTGATGCCATAACCTCCTTGCTCAGCAGAGTAGAGAGGTGGCAGAACTTGTTAGCAGAGTTCACAGGCAGTATTTATTCCCAAAGCAGACTTCAGCCATTATTTAAAAAAAAAAAAAAAAAAAAAAAATCCGCCCTCTTTCAGTGAAGTGACACCGTCATTAAAGAGAACTAGAGAAAGGACAGCTAATTTTTGAAATATTTGAAACAACCAGAATAAAAATACTGATCTGTGCATGGTTCTATTCTCTCTATCAGTTGAGATGGATAAATATTTTTGGTAAAGATTTCTCTGAACAAAAACCTTTTTTTTTCTTTAAAAATGGAAAACTTTTACCATTACCAAAATGTTTATGTATTTATGAGAGCATTTACAAAACATTATCCAAATTTTATTGAAACTCTGTTTCTAAAGGATACGGATTTGGGGTGACCTTATTTTTGTTCACTGTGCATCATGTCTTTGTGTGAAGAAACACATTTTTCAGACTTCAGTGTAAGTGAGACCTGGTGCCAAAAAAATAATCTGTATAATTTTAAAGAGTAAGAAAAGTAGAAGTGGGCCCATTTTTCCAGGACTATTTCTCTCCTTTTTTTTTTCTCCCCCCTTTCCCCTCTAGATAGTCTTTAACCACCTTCTGCTAGCATGAATGCCTTTGTGGGCAGTTATCCCATCTGCTTCCATAAATGGCTGCCTTACCTGTAACCTAATAGTCGTCTTCTTAAAACAGCTTCAGGCTCTTCTTCAGATATGGCCCAAGCTGCCGCCTAGAGAAGCGTTAGAGTTGTTGGATTTCAATTATCCGGACCAGTACGTCAGAGAATATGCAGTGGGCTGTTTAAAGCAAATGAGGTGAGTCTATTGTGTTACTTCAGCGTGCAAGGATTTCTGTTTGTGTCTAGGAAAAAAATAACCCGGAGAGGAAGGATGTAAACACACTGCCTGCCATGAATAGATGGCCAAATCAACCAGCCTAATTTCCAGATAAGCACATCGGCAGCCACGTAAAACTCATTCTAACTTCTTGAAAAGTAATGAAGAGAACACCAGGGTGCCTTTTTCCCAGAGAGGGTTGTGTGTTCACCCCTTTCTTGGACAAAGGGAGAGCAAGATAGTGGGAGAACTTCTTAATAACAAAGGGGAAAATATTACAATGGCTGAATCCGATAAAAACTGCCATCCAGCCACCTCGCACTCTGTGCCAGGTATTGGCTGTAACATTTAATAGAAATGGGAGCTGCAGCATAGAATGACAAACCAGAGAATTACTGATTTGTTTGTTCTTCACAGTAGCCTTTGCTATGGGCAGTTCTTCCTTTATCGCATGTAATTTTGCTCTTCACTGTCAGCCAGGGCAAGATTTGTGTAGCATTATTATTTGCAGCATTACTGCCTGTTTCCTGTCCTTGAATTCTAAATTCTCTACAGTGAATAGTTCAATGATTAATTTTTTTAATGGTCAAGGCTAGATATGTGGCGTAAAAAAAAAAAAAAAGAATATTTTGACTTCTTTCAAATGCAAACAAACAGTTTAGCTGCTGGGCTATTCTAATAATGCTAAATTGTTAAATCTGGAATTATTTCTGGAATTCTTAATTCTGGCTCTGAAGCAAAATCATGTTCAGTTGGGTGTCAGAAATCAATTTTTAACTTATTTAAAAAGTCTGATGAAGGCAACTGGTAGAAACTCTAATGTAAAGGTGACCCTGTTAGATGAAATTAAAAAAAAAAAAAAAGGTGAAAATAAATACAACACAGCATAATTGAACGTTTTTACCAAGTTACCGAAGTTTTTCCAGAGTAAGACGGAGAGAATGAAAGAATTCAGTATTTGCATCTTGGAAGTCTTCAAGTCAAGGACAGAAGAATTTATACTCTTTTCCTTCCATCTTAGGCAGAGAATTTGAATTCTGCAGGCCTTTTGTAAGAAAAAAGATACTCAAATGTGAAAAGTCAAGGAATGTTCAGATTTGTTCTAGAGTAACATAATTGTCAAGTGAGAGAGGGGTGTGTTTTTGGGGAGGGGAATACAGGATTTTATAGAAAATTATTTGAGTTAATTTTATTAGGTCAGAATATTACTTGAAGTAGTTAATCAGCATAGAGGCTTTTCAAAGGTGTGTTTATGAACTGAGGCTAAAGACATAAATTTGCACTTCTGAAGTAGGATTAATTTGAGCACTGCTTGGTTTATCAAAGATGATGTACTTTTCCTTATCCTCTAAAAACTTTCATGTTGTTGATAAAATTAAAAAAAAAAAAAAAAACCACAAGAAATGAAACACGCAAACAAAAAAAAACCCGAACAAAACATTTTGGGTAAATTGATCACTTTGTAGGTGAATCTTAATAAATTAGCACCTATTAACTGACAGGTAGTAACTTTTAAAGACACGTTAATTGAATTGCTTTCAGTGGAATGAATACTCTTCTCCCTGTTGTTTTTTAGCTGAGCGACTTTGGTAGGTATGTGCAATTATTCTCAGTTCTTGTCCATGCCCACTGCAGCTAACCGTAGGTTACAGTGGTTCTTTTTGAGGTTCCACAGGTCCAGCTCCTCAGTCAGAGGTTGAGTGGTCAAAGGGAGCCAACGTCCAGTCTGAAACAATTTCAAATAATTAATCTCCCGGATACTTAACCTAGCACTCAGGCTGAGATCTTGATCTTGTAAAGGCCCATGACAGAATACCAGGTTTTTACTTACAGGTTTGAGAGCCTTAAGACTCTGATAGAGGTATAACTTACTGATGGATTCATCAATCTGGGAATTGCACTAGCTTGTGTATTACTGTCCTCCATGCGCCTGAAAAACTGGGAGACGCTTGCTATTGAAACAAATCTGTCATCGTTGGATTTGTCATATGCATCTGAATTTCTGCAATATAGTTAATCTAGTTATTCTGTTACTAACTGCTTTTTGTACTTTATTCTAGTGATGAAGAGCTCTCTCAGTATCTTCTTCAACTTGTGCAAGTCCTGAAATATGAACCTTTTCTTGATTGTGCACTCTCCAGATTTCTATTAGAGAGAGCACTCGCTAACAGGAGAATAGGACAGATGCTGTTTTGGCATCTAAGGTAGGAGTTTTTCCCTTACATCTTTCTGAAACTATTGAGCCTGATTAGACTTTCAAATATAATTTCTTGGGGATTTTTCTAAAGGTGCTGTTATTGGAGTCCCCTACAAGTCTTCTTTATGTTTCTTTACCTTTGACATTTCTAGATCAGAGCAAGCCTATAATTAAAAATGTATTACAGTGGTTTGTAATCTAGTGTTTGATGAAAGCACTCCAACTGCATTCAGCTCTATCTGATAAGTTAGGTTTGTGTATAACCTTAGTGTTTGTTTTGGCTGTATGTGCAGTGAAAGTACAATATTTATACCTCACATTTGGGAAAAATATATATTATTGTTGAGAGTCTAACAGAAAATAAAAGCAGTTCCATGTGTCGTTGCTACTTTTGGTGACCAGTTCTATGAATGGTAGAAACCTTGCAGAATGGACTGTAGGTTGATTCTGTCTTCAATTTATTTTAGTATTTCTCAATAAAAAGTACTACCCGAAGATGTTTGGGAGGATAATTGGCTCTGGTATAAGGTTCAGTAGTTTGAATCTTTCAGTGTTCCCGCTAAGGCAAATTTTAGCTTCTGCCGTACAAATATTTGGGAACATGTGGTTTAATGTCAGCCCTGATGTCTATGTCATCTTCTATGACTTATCAGTACTACTCTCTTGAATAAAGCAAGTTCCTGAAAACAAATATCCAATCACTACCTCTTAACATTACAGTCTCCAGAACAGTGCTAGACCTTGGAACAAGTGGCATGCATTGAAACCAGCCAGTCCTCATACTCTTCAGCACATAAGTGTTCTGTTATTTCTAAAAAAACTCTGCCTTTTTGTTCTATCTACATGACCATGAAGTGTTTTGGTGGTTTTTGTCGGTTTGGTTTGTTTGGTTTTTTTTTTAATTTTATTTTTATTTTAATGACTTCAAGATCTGTAAATGCTGTGGTCTGATGAGAATCTCTTTTTTTTTTTTTTTTTAATATAGGTCAGAGGTTCACATACCTGCTGTTTCAGTACAGTTCGGTTTGATACTTGAAGCTTACTGCCGAGGAAGTGTTGCTCATATGAAAGTGCTTGCCAAACAGGTATAGACTTCCCTTCTCCTTTAAATCTTGACTTATCCTAGCTTGTAAATCAGCTACTTATTCCATTACTCCGATGGGGCATATCGTTTACCTTGATAAAGTCCATCTGTTGGAGAGTGGAGAAGAGAAGGAAGCATGGGTGAGACAGAACAAAAGGTTTAAATAGGTGGATGACGGAGCAGTCCTCCCGGGCACAGAAAGCAGCTAGTGCTCTGGGGCCTCAGAGGTGGAGACGGGTTTTTGTAGTGTTCAGAGATGCGGAGATACTTTCAGCAGTGTGCATATATTCTGGATAGAGCAGTAGACTGTCTGGATTATTAACTGAAGAAGGATTTCTGTGCACTTGAAACTTGTGACCTTTTTTGCCCCAGTAAGGGTAGCTTGTTTGATAGAAACTATTACCTTTCTAGCTAAACTTTATCTAGATGACTTCCTGCAGCTTTGGCTTGTGTTAAAAGGTGATGCAAAAACCCCTGAAGTTGTAGTATAATGTCATACTCCCTGAAAATACAGGTGTTGAAGTAAACAAAATACTCAGTGTTAATGCAGATGTGCTGTTTACAAACAAAACCCAACCAAAACCAAACCAGAGAGTTAAGTTTGCTTTTAAATACCCTAATAAGTATGAGAGGTTTGCTTTTAAGTACACGAAGTGTGTCAGCAGATCATTTAATAGGCACTCACAAATCATGTTTGAAGTCTCTAATGCAGTTTTAGCAAGTTAATTTAGATTGCAGCCATAAAAATCTTTGAAAAATGATCTCTCTCTGGAATTAATGTATTTGCTGTATCAGACCACAAAGACTGACTCAGTAGATACTTATCTGGTGAGTGTCATTTCTATCGGTTTTGATACTGTCTATGTTGAAACTGCCTTGAGAGGCATATAGAACAGGAATGTACTGTTGTGCTCTTTATTACTGCAGTTCACAGGCCGTTCAAAAGACCATCTCTTACACATGTATGCTTGTTAGTATTATCAAACTCATAAAAAGATTAGGTGATGAAATGTTCTAAGCAATAGACCTAAGGTCAGTAAAGTTTTTGTGCACTTCACAGGAAACAAATGTCAGTACAATCAAAGAAGGGGCAAAAAAATTCCCAACTGTGCAAACACGGAAGAAATTCAAAGTAGAAATACTTCAAAAAGTTCCTGTTTGTACAGCACAGGTTCCATTTTGTTCCCTTGTCGCTGGTGTTTGTACAGCTCCTAGAATAGTGGAAAGGCAGAGCGCTCTTGGTTTTGACAGATGGCTGACCTGGCAGGTCTCCCTTGCCGCACTTCTGTAATCAGACTGCATACAATTTCCACAGCATCCTGCCTGGCAGGGTTCGGTCTGGCTGTGCAAGTGGTAAGTTTTGACTCAGCACCTTGTACGATAGACTGAAGTTTCCTGGTATAGAAATAAACTTTTGTAATTGTTAAATCGATGCTGTTTGGTAGAGAGTGTGTGTATTTCCGAGCATGTTAACTGTGGCTAGTGCAAACACAGCTGATTGTTACAACAACTATTTTATATTCGACGAACAAGTTGCTTAGATGTAGATGCAATGTAGAAATTACATTTGCTGTACGTGCTATTTAGGTTTGTTACTGGAGGGCTTTTCTCTGTTGGTGTTACGTTTACATCGCTAGTTTACTTGTTTTCTTAGAAATAATGCACCAGTAGAAAACTTTCCAAAACAAAAGGGGGAAAAAAAAGTTAAACCCACCTGTATTGATTGCAAATAATTGCCTTACCTTTTTACACATTTTTAAGGTTACAATGTCGCTTAGATGGGATATTATGATTTGGAACACCTTAACTGATTAGAGTGTTCACCTTATGCCTAACTTTATCAGGATTTTAATGAACAAACATTTAAGACTCTGCTCTGTAAAAGTTAAGTACATGTAGTAATGTATGTGAAAATTGTCTGCAAGTAGTCGTAAGGCCGTATCGTATTGTCTGCAACTAACTGTGTACGATGACGTATCTGCATCCTTAGCTTATCTCAAGTAATGCTTGGTTTTGTCAGAGATAGGAAATGCTCAATGTTTCTGTTGACTTCAGTGGATAGAGGCACCTGTGTTATGTGCTGCTTGGAATTAGTGGACGAAACAGTATTTTGAAGAAGGAATTTGTTTAAATGTATCAAACAGTCATTTACTGGTTTAGAAATGTTGTCATGCTTCAAAAAGTGACTTGAAGCTTAGGAGCTTTCATCCCATTGATGTTTTTTGGTACTCAGGAAAACGGATTTCTGGGACATGAGTGACCTAGAAAAGGCTGTTCCCATGTTTTTTTGGGAATGCCACCTTAATTGCCATCTATTATTTACATTTTTTAAAGTTGTAGAATTATTTAATACTTTGTTTTGTTTTGAAATGGGATTTTGCATTGTATTATGTGTAAAATCAGAGCAATAACTTTTAAAGATAAAATATCTCTTTCAGGTGGAAGCCCTTAATAAAATGAAGACTTTAAATAGTCTAATTAAGTTAAATGCCATGAAGCAAAGTAAAGCAAAAGGAAAAGATGCAATGCATACGTGTTTGAAACAAAACTCTTACAGAGAAGCACTTTCTGACCTCCAGTCTCCTCTGAATCCTTCTGTTATACTTTCAGAACTACAGTAAGTTAAAAATGAGTGAATAAAATTTCACTGTAGCTTTTGTAGAAACAGTAAAGCAGAAACACGTGCATGCTTTAGCTTCCTTTGGCTATATTGTTCGCAGATAGGCCATCATAGAGAACGTTTTGTGTAGTGAGAGGTCTGTTGAGAAGTTACTTAACTGAAGTTAAGATATCAGTGAAGTGAAATTTTTGTGATCCAGCATGAAACTTCGTGCTGTCTCAGTCAATGCATTACTATAGCTAAATATATTTAAATACAAGCCTAAAAGTGCATTCCTGGCTTATGTTTATGACAGTAAGTACAAAAGCCATTAAAACTTTTAACAGCACTTAAATGTAAAGTCCAAAAATTGATTGGAAAGATTACAAAGAAAACGATTTTCTCTGAAAATGCAGGTGCTTAATTCAAGCATTAGATATGTGTATGCCAGTCACAGTATCTAATACATTCCATCTATAATGGATACGTTCGTAACTTGGGAAGCGCTCATAGCATAGCAGCAAAATGAGAGCAGAGATAACAATAAGTACTTCCAGACTGGAAGTCTACGTGTTCTGTTGTGTTTTGAACAATCTTTAGATCTTTTCAGATGAATTATTCTTATTTGACTAAAGCTTTTGCTATATTTTCTTCTAGTGTTGAGAAGTGTAGATACATGGATTCTAAAATGAAGCCTCTGTGGATAGTATACAACAATAAAATGTTTGGAGGAGATCTTGTAGGGATCATCTTTAAAAATGGTGATGGTGAGCAATACTAGAAATCCTAAATTTTTCTTTTTCCTTCTTCATTCCTGCACTTGCACTTAAGCTGTGTTGCGCTGTATTGCCATAATATAAATGTGACTTATTCTAATATTGGTAAACAAATTAACCATCTTCTTCTGACTGGGTTTCAAGTACAGACATTACCAGTCATGATGTTAAAATTATGGTTAATCTTTAAACTTTAGGCTTGATGAGTATTTTTAGATACCTCTTTCTGAAGGCCTTATAAACATTAGAAAGTTTATCTAAAACACGCTGAGAGATTGAAGTAGCAGTTTCAACCTCTCGTTACAGATCTCCGACAGGACATGTTGACGCTCCAGATGTTGCGTTTGATGGACATACTTTGGAAAGAAGCTGGACTGGATCTCCGGTAAGGATATCTTGAGGGCTAGTTTATTTGAATGGAGCATCCACTTTTAGCAATAAAGCTTTCCTGTTTTTTAAACACCTTCCCTGCTGTCTTCTTTCCAAACATCTGTATCAATGCCCAAAGGTTTCAGTTGCTGTAGCCTAGGGGAACAGGCTATTTCACTATCTGGTTGAGAATTACCAGAATTGTGGAACACACAAATACAGGTTGTTCTTCTTAACATTTTCTTATTTCTCCTGGTCTTATTTCTTAAGGACATGTATGGTTTATGCTGCCATGGTCACAAATGAATGTATTACTGTCCAAATAAATTTTATACTTGTGATCTATTTCCTACAAAATTTAAGAGAAATGTCCATCTTTTAGTAATTACAACAGGCTTCATGAAGGTCTTGGGAGAGGACAAGTTAGTCGCTTGTGCTTCTCTTCTAGGAGTGCTGCTGCACAATGAAAACTGTGATGATTTGGAACAGTCGTTATGGATTTACCAGGGGTAATCCATGCCTGGCTAATCCAATTGCATTCTTTGAGGAAGGGAAAAAGAGTAGTGGATGTCCTTACTGTCGTGGTTTAGCCTAGCTGGCAGCTAAGCTACCACACAGCTGCTCGCTCACTCCTCACCCTCAATGGGATGGGAGAAGAAAATTGGGAGAAAAGGACAAAACTGGTGGGTTGGGATAAGGACAATTCAATAGAACAGTACAAGAAAAACAAGAAGGGGTAATAACTACAATAGTACTAGTACAAGAACAATACAAAACGAGTGCCTGCAACTGCTCACCATGTGGAACCCGGCACTCAGCCCATTGGAACCTGCGAGACCCGTGATGCAAACGCCCCTCCCCGGCTGCTCCCCCAATATGTACTCTGACCATGACATCACATGGTATCCAATAGCCCGCGGGCTGGTCTGGGTCAACTGCCTGGCTGTGTCTCCTCTCAGCTTTTTGTGAAAATGTTAACTCTGTCCCAGCCAAACCCAGAACACTTACCTTGACTTTAACACGGCTTTTAAGTCTGACTCCCATAACAGTCTTGCCTCTTAAATTCAGCTGTTACAGTCTGAGTGGGTGGACAACTACATACTCTGCCTGGAGGCTGATGACAAGTGGGTTATCACTGGCATCTGTACAGGAATTTTTATATTCTTAGCCTTGTCAGTATCCTGTGGTGAAAGACTTTTATTATTTAAGTATGTATGTAAGAAAAAGTACTTCCATCTGTTTTATGCTTACCACCTGCTAATCTCGGTTACTGCGTGTTTTGAGTTGTATTTTTGAATCATGGTAAATGTGGATAGTCATTCAAGAGTAAGACAAGATTCTATAGTAAGATGAGGTTGACAGGAAAGGTGATACATTTAGAGCCACTACTATATTGGGAAAAAGATACGTTGCAGCTTCCTTAAAATTTCACTTTTCAATGCCATTTCATTGTATAAGTTCTAACCCAGGCATTATAAACTCAGTGGAGAAAAAGCATAATGTCCTGGTGCATTTGTACTAAAGTACTAAAGAGGTTTTTATGGTATTGAACTTGCCTGTATTTCATGCTAAAGCTTCCGTTTCTGCTTCCTTTGGGCAGGTTTTGTGAGGTTGTAAACTTACAGTAGAAAGGAATACTCGTCATTTAAGTATTCTGTTAAGGCAGAAATACTCCGCTTGAGAAGAATCTTCTCATTTGCTCTGCTGCTTCTCTCAAAATGAATAAACCTTTCCAAGATACCCTGAGTACAGGAGTTTCCAGCATTTGGAGAAACTTATTTCAGAATGATGAGGAGGGTTGTGGGATTTTGGTTTGTTTATTAGTTCAGTAGTCAAGTCTCTAGGGCGATATCTCCTCCCATGTAAGCTAGTCACTTTTTGATCAGTTGTGTAAGTAGCAATGCAATCAACTATTTTTTGTAGTAGCCACTTTTTCTTCCTCCTGTGAGCAGTCCTCTTACCGCTGTTTACACCGAGACTTACAGTCATTGTGAACATCCTCAACGTACATTCTGAAGTCAGGCTTTGCACTCTTTTATTGATAAAACACTGTTTGGATCTCAGAAAACATTTTTCAGACCAGAAATATTGTTGTATCTTCCAAAGCCTCTTGCAAAGCAGCTTTCCTGCCTTCATATGCTTGCTGAGGTAAGCATGACTTCTTTGTAGGGATATTGGACTATTCCAAAGAGAAATAGTATCAGGCATTGTTCACTGCTATCAGACAGCCCTCTAGTACATGGGGAGCTTTTCCAGCCAAATCTATGCACCAGTTTTACCTATTACAATTCTCAAATTCTAATTTCTTTTTAGAAAAATAGTTCTAAAGAACATACTGAGTGTCACATTATTATAAACCATTTGGAGTCTATAAATTCAATTTTGTATGCCTGTGAAAGAGCTGTAATCCTGTGCGTTTAATTTTTAAGTCTTGTTTATATGGCTAGAAGTACTTGAACTACTTCATTTAGATTCTTTGAGCTAATTTCAAATTTTTTGTGGTTCAAGCATAATAGCAAGAGCTTCGTAAGGCACATAACATCAACCCACATAGATAAGTAAAATTATAAGCTTGTTATTTATGCTGCTTACGGAAAGATCCCTTTGAGTAAAGTATGGCATAAGGGAGGAATGTGAATAATAAAGGAATGTGAATAATAAATTGTTTCTGGAAAGCGTATGTTTGCAATGAGGTGGCCGAGTGTGTGTTAAGTTGAACACTGATTTGAGGAAACTTCAGATAATTTATGTCATTATAAATAGACTGTGAGAAGACTGATCCAGCGTTTAGGGGCAAGGACAACCTCTGGCAGCTGTGGAATCCCAGATGGGGCATTCCTCGGTTGCTGCCTTTCCAGAAGCTTAGTTTGTGGTTCCAGCCTGGGCCACACACTGTGCCTAGCAAACAGGAATAGTGATTAATTGTCGTCAAATGCGCTTTTCCTGACTAAGGCATTTTTTTAAACTCAACAAAGGAAAACCAAAAAAGTGGCTCTGATGTCCAAGATTTTTCTTAAAACTCTCAGAAGAAAAAAAAAAAGTAGAAAGGGGAAATGCCTAGTGAGAATTGAAGTTCTATAATTGGCCCCTTAAATTTATTTACTTAACTGGGAGCATCTTCCTTCCATTCATCCTCTCGTAGTTATGATTATAAAATGAAATTCTGGGATTGAGGCAGGGTTACAATTCTATGTCTATCAAAGACAGATTAACCAGGCAGCTGCCAAGGGCAGGCTCTGAAACGGCCTCAACTGAAAACAGAATTGGACAAAACAGCACCCTGAATGCCTGGAGCGTTAGGACGCTGCTAAGAGGGTAAGATGGTGTGATCTCCATGTTTATAGTCTACATGCCTCTCAAGAAGAGTCAGCTCCAAAATCTATGAATTAACAGCAGTGGGTGTGAGTTCTGTTGCCTTGTTCATGAGTTGGGACTTGTTGGCTTGCTGCTTTTTGCTTGGGTAAGAGGCATGGTGTCAGGTGAAAAACTAGTGTCAAATAGATGTGCTTTCCTGAAAAATACAACTTCATACAACCATACCGATGAGTGGAGTGTTTCTTTCTTGCTCTGTATCATCCTTGGAGGCTTTGATTTCCCTGAAGCTGTTGCTTCCCTTTTTCCTTTTGTGGATGCAAAATGGATTTTTGTGCTTTTCAACTTTTTTCCACTGAGGAAAGTCTGATAACTCCATTCAAGTAAAAGCAGGTCTTCTCACTTGTTTCACCAGTATAAGTGCAGCAGCACTTGCTGTTTGCCTCTCTCTTCCAATCAATGATATCTCACCACAAGCAAATTGTACAGCTTCTAGGAAGCACGGATCAAATGGCAGCCAATGTGCTGCAGTCGAGGAGTTCAGGATAGGATCAATTTCCTTATAATTGCACTGCAATCCACAGTCAGTTATTTAGTAGCAATTTAAAATGAAATCTTAGTCTAGTCTGTCTAAAGCAAGCATGATATTCCCAGTGGGATTTCTCGGCTCTGGAGCGGAACACCAAAAATATATTGGTTTTGAGAACTCTAGAGTTGAAGAAGGAGGAAGTTTTGTTTGTTTGTTTAACTGTCAGCTAATTTGTCTCATGGGTAAACTGGCCTCCTTCACACATGGTGTGTTTTGTTGTCTAGGTTCCCTTGTGTACATTCTGATTAAATACCAGCACAAGACCAGGGTTTGTACCAGAAAAGGAAATATGCATATGCAGTAGGGTGCAACAGTGTGCTCCAGTAGGTCCTTTACCCTGGGCTATCACTGGAGGGACGGAGCGTACAGCTGAATAAAACTTCAGGTCTAAATTGCATCTGCTTCTCAGAACAGTCCCAACCATTAGACAGCAAAGCCCCTCACCCCAGATGAACACTGCTCTGTCATTTAGAGAAGTCTGACTCAGTCTGCCTTAGACGTCAGTCAGTCGAGTGTCAGAGAGAAATGAGAAAACCCAAAAAGCATATTCTTTTCTAAGAAAGACTGTTACCTGAAAATGGAGCAGGAAACAGTTGGCCTAAGACATTAGTAAGTATGTGTAGCCAGACTTGCTCAGTTCCTTCTGTGGTTTGTCTCTAGTTGTTTCTTGTACTTTAAAGATGGGCAGTTATGAAACAAACTTACTAAGTTAAAATGGCATTCCGATGAGGCTGCATCTGCAGAGTGGCAAAATGAGACCTTCAGAGGTTCAAACTCCCTGAAAAGTTACAACTCTTCAAGTCAAATCATTTTGCTTTCAAAAATTCTATGTCTGAAGTCATGTATGGACACACTCATAGTAGATTACATAACTTTCTGTTATTTCTGTGAGGAATGTTTAAATATTACGAATACCTGCCACAGCAGAGGAGCATAACATCTGTCTTCCCAAGCATGCCCTGGGGTCTGCAGTGTTGCACCTTGTAGGAGAGTAATCCTTGCATCAGAAAGTATTTCCGCTGCTTTACCTATACTATAGCATTGAAATTGTGTTAAGGGAGAAATTAGTGAAGTAGCAAAGCAACAGAAAATCCTAAGTTTGAGGATTTTGATCTATGTTCAGTGATCTTTGCTGTAGTAAATTGTCATAAAAGTGTTTAGTACTTCGTTACTTTTTGGACAGATAGAGGGAGTTCTCCAAACTAGTTTTTCATTTCACTGCCTATTTCTAGTGAGTTTTCATTTTCATCTCCCTTAACATGGGTGAAGTCTGATGCTAAGCGGCTGTGCATGAATGAAATCAGAGCTCACAAATGTACTGAAAAACGTGTATGTTACAAGTCTAAAGAATATCATTATTTTTAAACCATTGGACCTGAAGATGCAGAGAATGTGTTGATCAATTACCAGAACTTGGTGTTGTATTTTGAAAGGTATAACTGCTTTGGAGAATTAAACTCTTGAAATAAAGAACAGTATTGAATGAAGTGAAGATTTTCTGCCTGGCAAGGATTCTTGATTTGATCTGTCTGTGGTCTTTACTGTCATTAAAAAAGCAAGGAGCATATCCTGCTGACAGATGTTGAAGTCAGAAGGACCAGGATGAGATGGAAAGGGCCCAGAGGATTTGTCCCTAACTTGACTCCTGTCAAACTGTCTCTCTGACAAGGATGTTTTTTCCTCCAGTTGTAAGCACACAGTCCTCAAGGGGATGAAGGCTTTCATCATTGCTTGCTTTTGAAGGGGAAGTTGTTGGACATGTGCCCAGTTAAGCTACAAGTAGGGCGGGTTGAAGTGCCATGGAAGAAGGCCAGCGTGCACTTTAACCTGGCAATATTTGGCTTACGTTTGTCGTGTCGTGATAAGGATGGGCAGTGCTTCCTTGTATCATGAACGCTGGTGTTTGGTGATTACAGACACCCTTCTGTTCGTTGTGAGGACCCTCTGGTCTAGAGAGTTGGGATTTTTAATTGGGAAATAGATTATGGGAAGAAGGTTCCAAATCTGCACTTTCTCTTTTTTTGTTTTGAAGTTGAGTATTCTCTAAATACCCTGTTGAATCTGGTTTTCAGTTTGCTTTGTTGCCAGCAGAGAAGAAACACAGCGTATAGTTAGTTATTGCTACTTGTGCTGCTCAGTTGTGTGTTATCACTGAGGTAGAGGAACTGTTCAGTTTTCTTAAAAAAGTTCCAATTAATTTCATCTGGAATTTTATTTCTTTTTCTTCTATGGCTTGGGATAATAGGCATGTCAGTTAAGAGATGTGGTTCTGCTTTGTAGAAATCAAACTTAATATCTGTTTTATATATAAATACTGATGACAAGTCCACCAGAAGTGCTTTTTCTTTATATACATATATATACACACACACACACACAAATTTTAATATGTCCCGCAATTTTTTATACAGCTTTGTAAGTTGGCGAGTGCCAGTACTATAGCTTGTGTACTGCAGTTAGATTTGCATGGGCATCCATTCTTTTATACATGGATCCATGACCAGAGTTGAGGTAATATCCTTGACCTTTGATGCCTAGCACACCTCAATGTGTGATGCAATGCCTTTGAAGAGTTTGCTTTAAGTTTCCATTGCATACATTGAGCTCCCATCTAAGTTGTCATTCCATTTAGCATTTTAAGCATCTGGAGTGAGGAAATGTTTTGGAAAAATACGCTTCTCTGTTTAGACACATCTCTCCTTGGTTCATATCTTTCACTATGTCTTATTTTAATGCAATGATATTGTTGTAGATATTTTTACTAGACATAGTATATGAATGCTTAAGAATATTCTCATATGTCAGGTGAGTTAAAAGATGTATACCTGTTTTTTATTAGGTTTCTATGCTTAAAAGGAGTAAGAATTGGAAAACATTATTTTATGTTTGTATTTAAAAGGATTTCTATCATTTTAGGTTCAAATAAGAAGAAAAGGAAAAAAAGATAAGATCCTTTTCCATTTACACAAATAATTTAGTCTACAGTGAACATGAGTGTAACTTTACGGTCTGTTTAGCCAGTAAATTAAGAAAGGAAAACAAAGGGCTCCCTCTATGGTTTCTCCAGTAAAATTACAAGTAACTGTGTTCCCTAGTAAAAGGGAAAAATTAGGGTTGCTTATAATTTCTTCTTTTACAAATATGTATGTAATAGGAAAAAATAATGTTTTAAATGTACTGCTGGTATTTTAACTTTGCAATCAATATCTGTATGTTAACCTTGGAGAGTTTAATGTTGAAGTTAGCATGAGTATTCCCCCCGCTCAAAATATTGGTAGACTGAAGAAAAAGTCTTACTGTTTTTGTTTTTGATGTGTATCTGTGTTTTGTTTCAGAATACTGCCATATGGCTGTTTAGCAACTGGAGATCACTCTGGCCTTATCGAGGCTGTTTCTAGCTCAGAAACCATTGCTGACATTCAGTTAAATAGTAGCAATGTTGCTGCTGCTGCCGCCTTCAACAAAGATGCTCTCTTAAACTGGCTGAAGGAATACAATTTAGGGTAATTTCTACAGTTATTTTCTCATTTATAGTGTAAGATACAAAATTCCTGTAAGTTTGTGTTTCAAGATTGAGGAATGTGTGGCTCCTCTGGAAGGTTTGTTCCTACTTGCTTTTCTAGTATGTCAAATTCTGGCTCAGATTCATGGTGCCATTAAAATTTGAACAACGATCCAGCTGAAATTATGGCATTTGCAGCATTTTGACTGCGTATTGTTGAGTAAGTTACACTGGCATTGGCAAAACAAACCCAAGAAAACTACATGGGTTTCAAGTCTTGATGTTGTTGCCTTTCATAATGTTAGCGTTTCTCCTATTCTCCATGGCTACTTTTTACAGTCTTTTCTCTCAAATAAGTTCAGCTTTACTAATTTTCCTAATGGGCTTCTGGTTTAAACAAGGAAAAATCCGTTTTGAGGTCAAGGCATGACATGAATTACCAGTAGCATGCACTAATATTGTTTGTCTTTGTGGTTATAGAGATGACTTGGATCGAGCCATTGAAGAATTTACTCTGTCGTGTGCTGGCTACTGTGTAGCTACTTACGTATTGGGGATTGGTGACAGACACAGTGACAATATCATGGTCAGAAAAAACGGTCAGGTAAAGATCTCTTCTGTAGCCAGAATAACTACGGTATCACTGTTGTGCAAGAATTATCTTGAACTTTTAATTTCTTTAGTGTCTCAATAAAATCCAATCCGCACGTTGTTAGAACTGATGGCTTTGTTTACTGAGAACTTCAAAGAAAGGAAATGTAAAACTAGTGGAAGGACTGACCAATGTCTGTTTCGTAAGCAACTCTATATCAAATGAGGCTGTTCTGTAGAATTTTTTTCAGAACATCCAAAAGGCTTGTTAATAGTTCAGTGTCATTGAGTCAAAGTAATTTTAAAGTATCTCGCGAAGACCATCCTTAAAAATACATGAGTTGGAGTTTTGAGCAGTCTCCACAGCCCACCTCTGCAGAAATTTGCAATATGGAACTCAGTACCAGCATAATGCTGTGACTGTAAGTCTCACAACCTAGAGCCTAGGTAAACTCTTAGAAATGTATTTTTCTGTTTAATTGTTACTTTCTACTGTAACTTGTCTGATTTTTGTTTAAATTATTCTGCCTATAAAACTAGCAAGGGTTATAACAGCAAGAGTTTTATAGACATTTGCAGTATTCTTTTAAGTTTCTAACTACCAGGAGAAAGCTGAACTGCCCTTTGATTCTAAAATGGGAACTGTCACAGGTTCCTTGAGATGAAGTTCTACTGGCTTTGCTCCTGACTTTATGTAGAAAGCCCTTGGCTACAATGATGTTGAGCCTCTTGGGCCAATTTTTCTCTCTGGTCTAACCAACAGGATGTCTGTTGGCAGACATCAGAAGGTTAAACTTGCGATAATTTTTTGCATGCTGATTAGTAGCAGTAATCGCTCGTAAGACCATGGATGTTACCACTGACTTTAAATAAATCTTAAAACATTTTAAAACTAAATACTCCCAAAGGATTGAAACCCTGGGCTGGGGAGAGTAGCATTATGAGTTAACTGTTCTTGATACCAGCATGCTGTAGAGGTTCTAGGGAAATTAAATACTTCACTGGAGAAAGTAACTTTCCCCCCTTTTTTTTTTTTTTTTTAAGCTCTTTCATATAGATTTTGGGCATATTCTTGGAAATTTCAAGTCCAAGTTTGGAATTAAAAGGGAACGGGTACCTTTCATACTCACCTATGATTTCATTCATGTTATTCAACAAGGAAAAACAGGGAACACTGAAAAATTTGGTCGGTGAGTATTATTTTGATCTTTTCCTTTTGTAACTGAGATGATTTCTGGTGATAACTTCCAGCACACCAGGAACTTATCAGGGTTTGGCTTCTCACTTGTTCTTGCGTGGAAGTGTGCTAACACGCGTTTGCAATACTATCTACTTCCCTACCTGAGCTGGAACGTATATACACACCCAACTGACTTCATACATCAGAAACTGCAGCTCTGCAGTGAAAAGATACAGTTCCTTTTTACCTCCTCCAGCAGGAGATGGCAGATTCTTCTGGGCTTGTCTTTTTTTTTACCTTCAGCAGCACTGGGCAGTAGGGAGGGATTCCACAGAGTGTTGTTCAAACTAGATGAAGCACTGGCCTTAGAAACAGGCTCCGTTCTGCTCTTTCTGTCCATCCGTGCACATTCAGTGAGCTGATCAATCCTGGCCTTACTCAGGGGCTTAGGCATGTGGAGCCACGTGCTCATAATCCAGCGCTTTTGCATATCCCTTCCCATGTTGAGTTAAAGAGCTGCAATGGAACATGAAAGCACATGACAAGGGAAAACTACTCTCTGTGATCCTACCTGTTGAGGCAGGTTTTTCTTTTTCCCTTTTCTATCACTCTCACCAATTGACGGGAGGGACATGCTGAATGTTTTCGTCTCACTTTGCTATCAGTTTCTACAGGGAGAATTTATTGACAGAGATACGAAATTAAGTACTTGGGTATGGCTTGATAAATCTTATGGCTACTTTGGATAAAAGAAGCTGTATGTATGGTTGTAATGGTGTGTCTGGGAAGAATGGAAAACAACTGCCAGTGACCCCTGTCTCTCATGGAGAATAAGGAAATCAACCTGTAGCTCCATTTTTAAAACCATAGGGCTATTGAGTGACTGTGCTATTGCAAGAGCTGTGGAATACGGAGTACTTTAAATGGCAGTAGGATTCGACTTTGACTTGAAAAATGCCTTAGAAGAAAATTTCTTCTTTGAAGTATATCTCATTTCCTGTGGAAATTTATGGATTAGATGCTGGACAGTGGCACATCTGGGGACATCGAGCAAGTTCTCAAGTGTCCGTGTGCCATCACACATCTTTATGCCGCACCTGGCAGTTGGTTAAATTTTGACATATGTTTGCAGGAAGGAATTACCTTACAGAGACAGGCTGGGTTGGCGGGTCTGCTATAGAGCTTTTGTTTGTAGGTCTACTATATCGGCTCATCAGGGCGTTTCACCTAACAAATTCTCAGGGAAATGGGACACTGGCATTACCTTTGGCTTTTTTTTCTCTTTCTGAAGAATAGTGGGTTTTTTAAAGCTTTTGATCTTTTGTACCAATGCTTTGAGGGCTTGCTGGAGAGGCATGGGCTATTTTTGTGGGAATGCATTGGAGGTTCTGTAAACATCTCTGCCCTCTCCGTTACTGTGTTCCTACGGTAAATGCCTTAGAGCAAATAACAGTTTTTGGAAATGGTTACGTATATTTGTCAGCTGTGTAAGTTCATATGTTGTCTTCATTGCATGTGCTTTGTGGTCAAACTTGAAGGTTCCGCCAGTATTGTGAAGAAGCATACTTGATTCTGCGAAAACATGGAAACCTCTTTATTACACTCTTTGCACTGATGTTAACTGCAGGGCTTCCAGAGCTAACCTCTGTCAAGGACATCCAGTATCTCAAGGTAAAGTACGATTTACAGCTCAGCAGGACTCAGCATTTTTCCAGTATGTGAATTTTGGTTCTAAGATGAATACAGTTTAATTGCTTCCCGTTTCTCCCAAGGTTTTCACGTAGTTCTCAAAGCTTTCTTTTTCAGCTCTATGGAACAAGGTCTGTAGTCAGTCCTAGTGGTGAAAGGAAACTAAGAATATACATTCCTTTCAGCCATTCGATGATGAGTTCAGCATCCCTACATCTTAAATGTAGTCATTTCAGGGGTGTCATGCCTAAGCGTAGACCTGTAAAGGTGAAATTTATTTGCTCAATTCTTCTTCAGTTTTATCTGTAAACCCCAAAAGTACCACTGATGTATTGCTCAATGAATAATACGTGAAAAACTGTCAAAACAGAAAAAAAACCAGAATGCAGTTTATGTTGAAAGATGAAGAAGGCCTTAGCTATGGTTTTTAAAATTCCTAACAGCATTTGTTTTCCTGTCATCTTAGGACTCTCTTGCTTTAGGGAAGAGTGAAGAAGAAGCACTAAAGCAATTTAAGCAAAAGTTTGATGAAGCACTCCGAGAAAGTTGGACTACTAAAGTGAACTGGATGGCTCACACTGTTCGAAAAGATTACAGATCCTAGAAGATTTTTGCATTTGCACTAAGCTGAATGTTACCTTGATAAGTGTTTTTAAAGGGAAGCTGTAGTACGGGCCAACAAAACTTTAAATGAGGACGTAAACAAAACAACAACAAAAAGAAATGGACTGAAATAATTCCTGAGTCTTTTGCACTCTGCTTCTGAATGCTTGATTTCAAGACTGTCTCTACAAATAGTGAACATCCTGGATAATCAGTTCCT